GGGTTCATATTTGTTGTCTGTACTGCCCATGTAACTCTCTATGTCTTTCTCATCCTCAATGCTGCCATATTGGTACTTCATAATTTCTTATATCTACTTCACAATATCTTATAATAAAATGTAAAATAATAAAAATATTCAAAATGGTTGGGGACTAAATATTTCTGCTAAATATCAAAATTACTGTACTGATACTATATTGGAGGTGGGATTTTAACTTAATTATTTGAATAGGCAATACTTTCATATGTAGCAAATAAATTTTAAAAACAACACAAAAAGTATAGATCTAAAGCTCTTGCCCTTTCTGTTTATTCCTGTCCACTCCCACCTCACAAGTTATACTTTCATTGCTCCTGATGTAGGCTGTAAGAATTCCATTATGCAAACATAAACAAATTATAGCTCTGGTTTCCTTCCTTATGTAAAATAAAATATTACATGTGTGGCATATTACTTTAAAACAAGATTACAAACTAGCTTCCTTTATTTAACAATACATACTGCATATATTTCAATGTCTGTGCTTAGAGTGCTTTCTCATTATTTTAAATAGCTGCATAGTATTCCATTGTATGGATTTACCATAATTTATTTAGCCAGCCCCTTCTGGGTGACAATCTTTTACTAGGGCAGTGCTTCAAATAATTAACTGTGTACATTTTATATTTCACATGTATCATTCTTCTGTAGGACAAATAGCCAAAAGTTGAATTTTGACAGGAATTGCCAAGTAGTCAGTATGAACCAAAAAAACCTCCAACCATCAAGTCGATAGGGATTATAAAACTGTACACTCTCACTGACAATATTCTTTTAATGACTGGTTGTGGCTTTGTCAGTAATTAGTGTCATCAAAATTTAGGGTTTTATACAATCTGATAGGTGAAAAATAGAATCTATTTTTCACTTTATTTGCTTTTCTTTTAATATGACATTAATTGACTATCTTTTCATGTGTTTTATGAACTATTTTCATTTTCACTGTCATTACATTCTCCCAATTTTTGTTTTCTATTTATTTATCAAAATCTTTTTATGATTTCTTGATTTTGAGTTGTACTTAGAAAGGTGTTCAGCACTGTGAAGTTAAGAACAAATTCTTCCAAGTTTCTTCTGAAATTTTTGTGATTAATTTTTAATTTTTTTTCTGTTCGCAATTTATTTTGGTGTAAAATGTGAACTACGGAATCAACTAAATTCTTTTTCCAGAGGACTATCCATTGTCTCAACTCTTATTCTATAGACTACTTTTGCCTCCACTCTTTGGAAATGCTACCTTTAACATGTTAAAGTCTTGTACTTCTTTGTGTCAATTTCTTACTTGTCTTCTATTAAATTAATTAGTTTCTTTATTCATATGTACAAAATATACCATTTTAGTTATTAAGACATTCTAACACTTTATTATCTGGTAATTCTTATTATCCTCTCAGTTTTCTTCACTTTGAAGTTTCCTTGAGTTTTATTGTTTATTTATTTTTCCTATTACAAACTATAGAATTAAGTTGTCCAGTCAAAAAGAGGAAAACAAAACACAAATACTTCTGATATTTTTAGTAGATTCCTGTTATATTTATAAATTTATGTAAATTACCTTCATCATAGTAAGTGTTCCAATAAAATCTAATTATCAAACATGATGTATAATTATATATGCTCAGTTTTCTTTTGTATCTTTCACTGTGAATTTTTTTCATAAAGGTCTTGTATATTTCTTGTTAATTTTAACATGAGGTATTTTATCATTTCTGGTGCTATAATAAATGAAGATTTTTAAAATTATATTTTGTGTTATTTTATTTTATGTTTTGCATATGAAATTCTTCAATTCCTTTTCATGTCTTTTCAATATGAAAATTGAAAAGCCTTCTTGCTGTTGGTTTACATTTGCCTACCATGCTTTGGAAGTATTAGCAAGTGGAAGCAGTTCCTGGAGAAGGGCATTATACTTGGTGAAGTAGGGGACAAGTGAAAAAGAGGGAGACCCTTGAAGAGGTGGATTGACAATGGGCTCAAGCATAGCAATGATTGTGAGGATGGCATAGAACTGGGCAGTGTTTTGTTCTGTTGTACACAGTGTCACTATGAGTCATAATCAACTCAATAGCACCTAGCAACAGCAATAAGTATACTTCGGCTCAAGATTTTATTTTTAGCCTCTCTTAAGTATGTGCTTTTTAAGTATGTTCCTTTTACACAACATAGAATTGGGATTTGATTTTGATTTAATCTTTTTTTTTTTTTTT